ATTCCTATGCATTATTATTATCCTTATTTTAAAAAACCCTATTGTTATTGTTAAAAAACCGAACAACCCACACCCTTGCTCTAAGCAGGTTTTGCTCTGCCACACAGAAAAGTCGGGGTGTTTGTGAGCTAAAAGCAAGAGTTTGCTGTTACACCACTGAGCAGCAGTGATCCACGCGGGGCTCGGAGGGGGCTGCTGCCCTCCCCCCCGTGCCACAGCCCTCCGCATCGCAGCCTCAATGTTACTTGCAGGTGAAGGAGCTTTTGTATCTGATTTCCTTGTTTCTGGTTCACGAAAAGGAAACTGATGAAAACAGAAGGTGCTGACCCGTGATGGAGAGGGGGTGACAGAGGACGCGGGCACATAGCCATGGGTCGGAGGACCACAGGCGTGCTGGGAAGAAAGCGATGGAGGCTCAGGGCTCGCTCAGTCTGAGGGTTCACATGAGCATGGGTGGAGAAACAGAAATCCTTAGCCTGCTCCTGGGTTTTTGAGCATTCCCAATAAAATACTCACTGCTAAGGGTCTTTATAAACGATAACTCGTGGGCATATTCCATAGGAATTTCATTTCCTCTTTGAATACTTCCATTTTGGTTTTTAGCAATAATGTTGCTGAGACCGTAGTGGTCTGAGGATATATGGGAAGTGAGGTCTGCAGTAGCCCCCTCTTGAGAAAAATATGAGTACATGTGTTTTTCTTTTCTCTTGGGTAACTGTTAGGGAGGGGAGCATTCATATCTGAGGTGATGCTCTGGCTTCTCAGGCAGATTATACAAACTTTTTCTAAAAATTCACTTAATTTAAAATCTTAAAAATCAATTAAAAATGTAAAAATATACCTATTTATCTGTAAATAGCAATGACCCTGCAGAATTTATTTGGATCTATTAAGCATTTGAAACAAAATACATTTTTAGAAAACCTGATCTATCTCACAGTCTGTCTAAAGAAATATAATGGCTTTCTGATCTCAACAAGAGGTTTATTTTCAGTGAGTTCCTTGACATTTCTGTCTTAAAAATTATTGATAAGAAAATGAATTAACAAGGAAATTCACATACAAAATCTGCACTTGAGTAACATTAAAGTCCCTTCCCAAATGTTGGGAAATTCGATTTATGGCTAGTGCTCTGTTCCTGTGTCTCGGGGTCACATTATGAAAGGCCACCTGCACAGAGATTGCAACATCTCCACTCACATCTCCTGTTCAGAGACATGAACTCATGAGACAGCTTGAACTCACACTTGGACTTGAAGCACCCAAAAACTGACTCTGGCTTCAGGTCCCGATCTCAGGGATTGCTCCATCCTGCAGGTGGGACCATTTGCAGTATTTCTCTCCAGACTTAGACCCAGATCCTGAAAAAAAAGTCCAAAAGTTTCTTGGAGACCAGGTCCCAGGCTCTGGTCCAAGGCCACAGCTTCACATTCAGCACAGACAAATCTCGAAACCAGGCTCTGTGCACACAGCCGCGTGTGGGCACGGGCACCCCCGGAGAAGTTCAAGACAGGCTGCTGGATATTTGGCTCTCACATGTCTTCAGCTCTCCCTGGTCTCTCCTCTGTCCACTTTTGGCATTGTCTGAAACCCGTTTCTGTCGTCCAAAAAATATAGAACTAGACTTGGGAGGAACAGGGGAGCGAAGCCAGCCCGAGAGAGGCTCAGCAGGGGGATAAAGTTTGCCTGTCCATCCTTTTAAAGGTCTTTATCATCAGGACTGCCTTATTGGCAAAAAAAACCACCATCTTCTTTCAATCTAGCAGTTAAAACTTCTTTCAGGAGATAATCACCAGGAGTGTGTGACACGGGCAGAGGGGAACTGAGAGACCAAAAGTGAAGACTTTGCAGGAAGTATTGGACCGTGATTTAGGACAGGAATTAAATTATTTATGTCAATAAGCAATGAAACCTTCAGTTCGAGCTGGCTCTGTTTTCATTCACACAGGAATAAATCATTTCACAGAAATAAGGAGCATTATTTGGAGTTAATTCTGGTAAAAGTTAACCCAAAAGTCTGGGTCAAGCCTCTTTGCCTGGATGAAGAAGTGATGATTTACAGCATGGTTGTGGATGTCAGAATTTCTTTGAAATTATTCTACGGATGAAGGTGGAATATTTCTTACACCTTCCAGAAAAACTTTAATGTGAAATTTGTAGCAGCAAGATACAGTCTGTACTGCACGTATTTAAAACTTGTTTTCTGTTATCAGTGATTGTGGGACAAATCCAACACCTTTTAAAGCTGCAAGTCAGAAGAACTTTCTAAACTCTGGTTAGTAACTTACTTGAAGAGGGAAAACACAATTCTTCCTATACAGTCCCTAAAGGAGGTAAAAGACTGCCAGGTTCCAGCCTGCAGAAAACTCAGAGGACACAGTGGAACTGCGTCTCCTCGGGACACGCTGGCTGTATCTACTTTCAAGGGTGTAACATCGTCTGGACAGGAGAAAGAGATTTTGCCATGAGACCTAGGAAACGGACATTCAACAGAGAGTCAACAGGGCTTCAAAATTAGGACATGATGAAAATTACATCCAAAAAATTGTGCCTTGAAGTCCTGTTGACTTTGCCTCCTATATCAAAGACCAGCTGTGTACCCGTGCTGGAATAGGATCGCATGACATCATCCTCACCCTCATCTGGAGTTCCTCACCTTGTATCATACCCTTCTGTGCAAAATTTCCAGCAGGCCTCGCAAAGTGATTGCAAACAAACAAAATAATAAATCTTTGTTATCTCTGACTTGGACAAGATTTTCAGCAAGCAGCTGGCTGGAGCAATGTTGACTTCTGCCTCACCCAATGGAATTTCCATTCCTGTGGTCACCAGAAAACACATCACCAGATTTGGGACCTGCTGACATTTCTTGCTCTACCAGAAGGCATCTCATTTTGCAGGCCAGGGGCAAATCTGCACAATTTGCAGCCATTTTGCATTCAAAGATTTCTTGGTGTGGAAGTCAAAGGCATCACTGGGTTCAATTTGCACAAAGAAATCTGGAGACAAAAGGAGTTTGGGAGGACAAGCAGAGCGGGGAAAATTGCAGCAGGTAACAAAAAAATGGATCAAATGGGAAAGAACGGAACTAGCATGGCTGGAAGCCCAGGTTCCCTCCAAGAAAAATGTTTTTCCCTCCTGAATGGTGAAAAATGGCAGGAAAAATTGTGCAGAGCCTTTCCCCACTCCTCAATCCCATGTGAAGACCTGTGCGTCGGTCCTGAGCACTGCCAAAAGGATGGTCTTATTTCCTGTCTGCAAGCTGTCACAGTGCACCCACATCTTCCCTAAGGCCAAAATAGTCCTGAGGCTCCCCTGGTTGCTGCCTCTGGTCAAGCAAACAGGAGGAGAGAAAAAGGCTGTGATTCTCCCTTCACCTCAAGCAAGTCAATGCTCAGCCTCTCAAAGGCCACACAAAAATGTAGTTGTCACCTAAATATCCTTAACAGACTTTTGTAACACAGGGAAAATGTGGAGAGATGGGGTTTAAAATCACAGATACAGCTAGAGCAGAAAACACACATGGGATCTGGGCTGTAGATGCATTGGAGTGCTCAGAGGCATACACCGGCCATGGTGTCCCAGCCCCGGAGATGGATCCCAAACACCCTTTTCCTGATCCACCCCCTTGCAAAACAAACCCAACCAGCCTATCCATGTAAAAGGATCACTTTGTGACTTCGTTTTGGTCCCAGAAAAAACTTTGAGCATCACTTTTCCCTTTGCCCTCCCCCAGCTTGAATGCGCTGCTGAGGTTCCTGGTAATGACACAAGGATCTTTCCAAGAGAAAGTACTTCAACTACAACAAAATTGGGCAAATGCGGATTGGCACAACTTGCAGGCAAGCACAGGTAAGAGGCTTCTGAAAGACCATGAAGAAATGAAGAAGCACCTCTTAATTCAACTTCAGGGATCCAAACGAAACTGAAGGATGTCCCAAGAATATGGGTGTGAGATTCTTGGCAGGGCAGAAGAAGGGAAGATTTTCATGGGGCATAGTGTGTGCAAAAGTGTTCAGGCACAATGCAAACTGTAAGAAAAGTGCCCACTCTGACCAAAAGGGCTTCAAAAGGACGGAGCTCAGCACGTAACTTGCAGCAACGCGGGGACCACAGCATCTTGCATATCCACCCTCTCCCTTTGGCCTGGTGGCTGTGACTCCACAACAGCACTATTGGCCATGAGAATGGCTTCACACCATGACAGCCCTCCAGAGGGGCTGCCTTTGGTTTGCCTTTGCATCTCCAGGTCCTTTGTCAATGGGAGGAGAGATAATTAAATATAATACATGGTTTAAAACATAAAATTCCAGACCCATAGTCTCTTGTCCTTCTTTGCTGTCTCCTGTCTCTGCTCTCAGGGTTGTCTCTATGCTTGCACTCAAGCTCATATTTCTGAGTTTTTCAGTTTCCTAAGATGGGATAATTTCCAAACCATTCTGGTTCAGAATGGTATCCTAACCTGTCCCACTTTGAGGCCATGTCTTCTGTTCAGGAAAATATTCCAGCGACCATCCCCCTTCCTCCAGGGGCCTGCGCAACGTTTCCATGTATTATATTGGAATTATGCCACCTTCCTGATGGTTAATGAGGAACCACAGAGTAACAATCCACAACCCCCCATAATTACACATGGCCTGAAATCTAAGCCAGAAACAGACACATGTTCATTCCACGATTCCAAAACACCTAAAAGCGTAATCACCAGTGCCATGGTGTAGCAATTCCCACGTAACACGTCAGCCACCCTTTACTGTGACCTCCAAAAGCTCTGGCTAGGTGATTTATTCCTGCCCTGCACTTCTGAAGATTCCCAAGAAACGCAAATTGCCTACCCTGCACCATGAAATATTTTCACCTAATGATCTTAGAAAGAGAGTATGAAAGAAATCTGAACTTCACAGCTCCAGTTCGCCCACCAATGTGGCCTCTTCTACAAATGCAGGCTCGGACCTGCTCATTACTCCCCCCAGAGTAAGGTGCAAGAAAGCATCTGCCAGCTAAGGATGTCCTAGAAGGAGGAAAACCTTAGCTGTCAATCTCCTTGACAAGTTCGACGCGTGGACAGCTGGAGCGGGCAGCTGCCAGCACTCAGATGTGGCTCGCCTGGGCGCTGACCAGCCCATGTCACTGAAGGGTCCCTCACCCGTGGCTGACCTAGGAGGAGGACCGCAGGGCGTGCAGAGGTCAGAATCGGTGTCTGATTCCCCTTCTGCAATGTAGGGTCTGATTTTTGCCACGGCTGCATAGCAACCGTTGTTAAGGATGTCCAAATTCTCTTTGGACTGGGAGATGCTAAAGCCGCTGAAAGAGCGCTCCAGTTCCTCGTGGTCTACCGAGGGGATGGAGATGGATGTGTCGCTGTCTCTCATGGCACTCTCATGGTGTTTGGTTGTAATGTCTTCATTTCTCAGGTACTCTGAACTCGCCCTGTGCCCACCGCTGTATGCTGACAAGGAGCGCTCGTGGGAGGGTGGAGGTGGGATGCGGACCAGCGAGCCGGGGTCTCCGACGGGTGAGGAGCCGTGGCTTTGCCTCTGGTACACCTGCTGCTGGCATGACGTCGAGGGTGGGCATGTGTTGGTCGGGGCTGGTGGGGCAGAGAAGTTCTTCTGACCCATGGAGCTGGTGGACCTGATGATCTTGATGATGCAGCCATTCTTGTCAATGTGCTCTCTGCTGTCTTCAGGGCTGTGGTAGGGAGGTGCTGGGTCTGGTTCCTTGGACCCAAAATAAGCCTCTGTCTCCGTTGGTGGGATGCCCATCCGCTGCATGTAGATGTTCACCAGGAAGTCCAGCTTCTTCTCCATTGACTGAACCTGCAAAACACCACAATTCCAGCACCATACACTGCACGCAGGTTGAAGCACATTAACACCCTGAGTAGAAGCAAATCCCAACCCGCCTAGGCATGAGCATGGGTCTGGGCTTCACAGACAACCTCTGCCTACACTGACCTACACCAAACTGAAACTTTTAGTAAATATTTAATTGAAGTGTTCTGAAAATAATCCCTTAATTTTCCACCTTTTTATGGGGGTTTCCTTAAGCTCCTATAATCTTTTTGACAGATACCAAATACCAGGAAAACTGGAGCACACTCGCATCCTCCCAGTGACTTTCAGCTCCTTGATGTGTTTGGCACTTCCCCGGGCTCAGGTGGTCATGGGGATTTCTGAGCCTTATCCTCTAGGAAGATTTTCACCTTCGGTGAGGCCAGCAGCTACAGCAGCCAGGCTCCTGGACTCATTTCAAACATGTCTAGTACGCTGGCAAAGAAACCAGTGTGCCTTTTCAAAAATAATGTAGACTTTCGGTAGACTCATCAAAAAACAAAGTCTGTATGTCAGAGACTCCAAAGTGCCTGTGTTGAAAGGAGTACTTAGGCTCGTCAGACATTTAGTTCCCTTTCATAACACCTACCTTGTTTCTTTTTCAAAATATTCTTAGCTCTTGATTTTTTTTCCTAAATGGTGATGTCCCACTGGGGAAAAATAAGGCAAGAGAAAAACAACACAATGCATGCAACACCCTCTGCTGAGAACTCCCTCCTGACCCAATATACCTGTTTTTCAACTTTTCCAAGCCTGCCCATCATGCTGGGGTCTTCAGGTAGCTCCCCCTCCGCTGGGCCTTTGGTCCGATCCTTGTCAGTCATGGAGGATCCTCTCCCAACGATCTGGTCAACTCTACCGGGATCAGAAAATCCCCCCCGCCCCCGGAAAAGGACCTGGAGTCAGTTGGAGGCAGCAGGCGAGGAGGGCTCCGCTTGTCGCGCCTCCGTGGGACACAGCAACAGCCCCTCTCCCAACTAACACTCCAGGTTACTCACAGACACGCAGTGGCACTGAAGTGTTAATTCAGATGCAAAATTCAGAGCAGTATTAGCAGAGTTTGAAATTATCCTTTTCTGTTTATACAGACAAAACCTGGCACATTATGCACAGTAAATTTACCCACTGCAAAGAATTTCTTTAACTGGCTTTCTTCCAGATCAATTAACTTATTTGTAGTAAGAAATTATTATTTTGGGGGAAGATCAAGTTTTCTGTCTAGCATATGTCAATGGGATTTTTTTCAGTCTTTGCAGCAGTTTCCTCTCTTCAATGCAAATGTAAGTGTGTAATTCTGAAAATGAGAATTCATGAAAATGACATGCTTGCCCTAAGATCCAGACAACAGGTGCAGTGCTAATTGCTTTAGTGGAATTACATCAAGGCTGAATTTGGTCATAACTCACCAAACATTACCAAATTGTCTTCATCTCAATGCTACTGCAATACACAACTGTATCATGAGATGGTTTCTATCAGGAGGGCTCCAAGGCAGTAACAGCAGAGGACACTCCTGCCAAATCATCAGCTAAAGGTACTGGGCATGCTGTTTGGCACCAACTTCTTTACACATGTTACATTTGCAGCTCCTCCTTCCCAGCCTAGAAACACCTGGGCTGAAATACAGCTCTGTATGCAGAGGAAGAAGGAGGACAGAGCTAGCATGGAAGCTAGAAGTCAATTCTATTTGAGGTATCAAATATAAATTTTCTAGAGAGTAAGCACTGGAGCTTCTTGATCCCTCAGAACTCAGGAGCAACTCAATTTTGGAACAGCTTCTTAATGGCAGCCCGGTTTATAACTTAATTCTCTGTCAGGCAAAGTTTACTCTTGCATAATGCACCAAACTTAAGGGTGGTCGGGGAAAAGAAGGGTTAATTAATCTGACTGAAACCAAGTTGAGGTATCTTGAGCAGAAAACTCAAAATGCTTCTTACGCAGTTCTGCTGTGTGGGCCATGGGTCCATGCACCAGGAGGAGGAAGAGGAAGGAGCTGAACACAGACAGACAGGGGAAAATGAACAAAAAACCAAGGAAAGGAATGAGACGTGAGGCTATTTCCAACAAAAGGGCCATCTGTTTTCTTTACATTTGACGGGGACTTAATACGTATGTTGGCTGTTGACATTAAGGGACAGATATCAGTGGGTATGCACCAGCGTGGCTCCCTTGGCTTATATTAGAGCAACAGCAGTTTACAGCACCAGAAGATCTGGCTTGAGAGATGAAGTGGACGAGCACATCACACCAAAGACAGAAAATACAAGCCAACAATTATTTTAGAGTTTATCTTTGATACCCAGAAGATACTTCATTTGGGCAAGGACGCGACAGAATACTGTTCTGTTTAAAAAGTCATGTTTGATCCTTTGCTTAGCAATATAAGCACAGGAGTACAAGGAGCACCAAGTGCTAGAATTACAAGTGTGAGGAATATGCATGCCTTATTTCTCGCTTGTAATGGGAGAAGCAGGTTACTGACATGTACAGGAACTCCCCACAAGGGATGCAATTACTGACATGACATACAGCACGAGAAATCCTACGACAATGTTGCTACCATGTAAGCAAAGAGGTATTAAATTGGATACCTCGGGCTACCTTGGTTAGGAATCACAAGTCAAGGCGTAGTACAGCCACTGTACGAACTCCTCTCCTGTATGCACAAGCAAGTAGACTAGTAAAACAATGAACATGCGTTTAAAGAGGCCCGAAGTCTAAACGCTACTGAATATTGCGGAAGGCCAAGAACAATCAGGGTGCTCTGTCCTCGTGTCCCATTTAGCACAGCACCAACACTGAAATGTATCCACTGATGGAAATGAGATGTCCCTCAATGGTTGCTGAGTAGAGCTGGGAGGCAGGACAGACTGTAACACAGAGAGGAAAACTGAACATTGTCATGATACAGAGTATCATAAACGCAGAGATAGTCCTGTGCAACCCTATTTCTAATCTCGCAGAATTTGAGGCAGGACATCTCTCATCCATGTCCTTCAGAGAAGAGCTATCCATTAAATGAACCTCACATGACCCACGTGAAGCACGAGAGGCCAGCTGTGCTTCACAGATGAATGACCATTAGTATATAGAAAAGCACTGACTTTTTCCATCACCTCCAGGCTGGACATGCCTGTAGACCTGCTGTGATTTAAAGGCAGGACTGAAGCACTTCATAGAGCTCACCCATAAAGCATTCAGAAGTCCTTGCCCATACATCATTGACACCAGAGCCCAGGAGAATTCCTGCTTGACACCCTCTGTGTCTATACTTAAACGTAGTCCTGACCCCTGAGCTGGTCACCTTCCACAGCTCTGAGAAACCAGAGACCCAGATCTCATGTTGGAGGCAGGGTCTGCACTGAGAATGGTGCGGTTGGCAGCAGTGGGCTACTGATTTCAGTGCAGAGAGGGGAGAAGAAGGTGAACTGAGTCCTCCTCTCTTGATGGTAGAGCCCAGGCTCAAGGTCTCCTATGCCTCTGCTTCCCATGGCAGAAGTTAGACCAGGGGAGAGTGCTCCTACTCTCAGCAAAGTGCAGTGATTTCATTGGTGCCTCATCTGACACAAAAGAAGAGAAGAATTTCCTCATGAGCTCCCAACCCACCTGTGCCTAGCTGAGCACCACAAAAAACAGAAGGTCCTTTTAGCCATTATAGAAGAGTTTGAAGTTTTGTTCAAATTGGGCAGCAAAGCTCAAAAGATGAAGAACAGAGAACATATTCCACCTTTGCAAGCAGAGGGGGATAGTGTGTCTTCCTAGTGCATGACAAGGGACCATGAACGTTCTGAGATGCCAAACCTCCCTTCTGCACTACATCTTGTGGGGAGCCTTGTGCCTTCCCGAGCCTTTTCTTGGCTGTGCTGAATACACGTGTGGAGGGAAGAACTCAGCTGAGGCTTTGGAAGAATCAGCCCCGTATTCTTCGCTTTGTGGCAGCAGAGGATTCAGAGTTTTCTAACGATGCACGACAAACTGTGCCATCTGCTGTCCTTGATAGGCTTTGCTAGGTCTGAGTTTTGGAGGAAGAGAGAAAGCTCTTTAAAGTGAACTTTGATTATCTTTCCTTCTTTCTAATGACACAAAAAAAAATGTAAAGTCTTGCATCAGCCACAGTGCAGGTTTTCTCATGCTTCATTACGCTTCATGCTAACAGTGCATGCAAAGAGGTGTAATATGTCACCCTCGGGCCAGAAGCAGACATCAAAAGGTAAAACGGCTCAAATGAGATAAAAATGAAGTGTTTGGGAATATATATTCAATTATTTTCTTATTTCTTTACCTCTTTTAAGTTTTTGTACACAATCCAGGCATTGAAGCCAAACCCCCTTCATCCATGTCACAGGACTGGCTACTTACCTCCCCATTTGGCAACAAAGTTTGCTCTAGATATATTTTGACCAATATCTGTTGTCTAAAAACTACATCTGAGGTTGCACCTAGTCTATGCTAAATCAACTGATCAAGGGAATTTAATCCAGATTGTCTGTGTGTACAGCATGGAGCGAGCACCTTCAGCCAAACCAGAGCCATGGACATCCATGAGTCTCCAGCCGCCTTTGCTGGGAGCTACTTCCAGAAAACTCTTGGCTGAACGGAGCCCTTGTCACCAGAGCACCACAGCGCAACCCACAGGGTTCAGATAGCTCATGGGACATCACTCAGTTTTGTTTCTCTTCCTTCACTAGGTGTTTTCTTACAATCTGAGCAGCGTTTGTCTAAAACAGGGATGTGCTGTCTAAAAAGGAGAGGCTGGTGCAGCCTATGTGGACCCCAGTGCATGTGTCCCACGGCAGGGACCCACATAGTGCTGAGATGATGTCAGCCATGGCAGCAGCACACCCTGACCCAGAGTTTCTGGATTTGGGCTTGGGGCTGCTCAGAGCTCCAGTTCCCATCCATCGGGCACCTCGAGCATCTCACAGGTCCCACTGGGGTCCGTGGGAGGATGCAGCTGCCAAAAATTAAGCACAGCATAAACCTTGTAATGAGTGGGAGCAGAGATTTCAGCAGCCTTCTGTACTCTTCTACTTTCTGGAGCCTTTCAGCCACAGCTCAGTAGAGGAGAAATGAGAAAATTCAATGCATTAAAAAAGGGAACAATTATAAAAAAAGTCTTAAGGTCCCAGGAGCCCAGTAGGCATGTGCAAACAGATTTTAATCTGGCCAGCAGTATTAGAAACTGTAAAAACAGGAAGGGAAAGTCTTTAACACTACAGTGACACAGCAACAGATTTGGACTGAATAAAATAAACATTCCAGTTCGAGGCCACCTCCCCTAGCATCCATTGGTCACCTTTTCTGGGTGTGAGGCACAAGCTTTCACACGAAAATCTTGTCTGTAGTGAAGGCTTGTTGTACACATAATCTTTTAGGTGAAATACAACAAAAATCATTTGAATATGTATTTTTATTTTAAAATCAAGGGGTTTCTGCAGATAAGAAAGTCATTTCATTGTTAAAGACTAGTTTTGGGCTTCATCATTTGGCAGAGAGGAGAAATGGAAAAAAGGATTTTCTGAGAGCATTTTTTCCAAAGCATAAAGCTTGGGGCTTCTGGAAAATTCTCTTATTTTTCTTAATCTTTGAGCTAGCTGAGTGGGAAAAGGTAAGCTTTCAATATTCCTTTTACTCACTTTCCTCTAGTGAAGATTACTCAGAGCAGCTTAAATAAGATCAAGAGATTTGTCACGTATTAGCTCTTAAGGAGGGCAAGTATATTTAGAAAAAAAATATTTGAGGCTAAACTTATTGTATTTAAAAATCACCTACTATCCATGCATGGAAAATGGCTTTCTGGAAAATATTTATACCTGTCTTGGGCTCCAGTGGTCTCAATATAAGGTGAAAACAGAGCTTAGCTCCTGGCCCTGCTGACCAGACCTCAGAATGCCCTCAAATGGGAACTTCAGTGAGAATACGTGCCTCGTGGCATCAGCTTCATGTACGGTTTTACCTAAGGAGAGAACTTCATCAGGGCAAAGAGGAAAATCTCACTGCACGACTGAGGGCTGGGTTTGACTCCTGCTCTTCTTTCTGCTTGCAAAATCAGCATCTTATTTTTTTTAATATGAGTCCTGTGGTTCTAGTATTTTAAGACAATTTTTTTCCTCTGTGGTAGGTAGAGTTGGTATCAGCAAGGAAAAGAGACTGCTGTGTTCATCAGGTATGAAACACTTCATTCTTACTTTGCCCAATGGCATAAACTCATTTCATAGCACAACGAGCTGCAGAGGCTCCTTCTCTTGTGTGTGGAGTGTTTCATCTTTTAGAAAGCAGATTGTTTATATTGGCATTGTGGGTAAATAATCCACCTTTCACATTTGAAGAAAGTCTTATGAAATATGAGATTTTAAAAAGATGTATTTTTTGCTTTCCAACACCTACAAGAAGACTGAAAATAGAAAATATGCTGGCTGAAGAAACTGATGGTTATTGATGACTGCATGAGTGTCCCTTTTTTTTTGCTTTGGCTTGCCTAGTGTGAAAGCTCATTACTGAAAGTAAATCAGAGCATACCCAGAGTAGCCAGCCCTTCTGAGTCATGATTTAGCCAGCTGCACTGCTAAGTGATAAATGCCGTCATATAACTGGCATGAAAGGGGTTTGACATTAAGCAAATGAAAAGTCCAGAGAAAGCGGCATTTTGGTGAATCCTAACCTAGGCGAGTATTGGGGAGATTCTTTGGAAGAATACATGGGTCCTTTGGTTGGATACTTCTTATGCCGGGGAGTTGAAGGGGGCGGGGGACCCACAATCATATCTATCCTGGCAAAGTAAATAAGAAAGAAGACACCAGCAAAATGCATAATGAAGCAACATGTAGAGAAAAGTTGGTCAGAAAAGTTGCAGAAAGAAACAACTGAAAAACAGAACGACAGAGACAGAAAGAGAGAGAAATTGAAAATATATTCCGCAGGAAACAGAAGGCTCTCTCCTACGCCTGGGTGTTGGCGAAAGCCAGTCTTACTCACCCCAGGGTAAGATTTGGAGATTTAGGCACCACTGAAACATCATTAGGAGACCCCACCCCCATCCCAGATATAATAGGCAACGTGCTTTACCCTCTGGAATATATTTGCATATGTGTAGCAATATCCCATTGAGGCGGTTGGATATGAAAAACCATATATTCATTCTCCTTTCAGTTCCAGTGCTAGGTAACACATCCTCAGCTAGTTCAGAAAATCATGAGTTGTTGGAGTCGGCGAGATATGCTGTGGGATTGTATAACTCAATGAATGGGAGACATCCATGGTTGGCAAGGTGTCAGGATGAGATACGAGACAGTGTGAACACAACACTGAAAAGAGTACGTTACAGACACAGTGACAGAGGCATTCATGATTAAAGAGGAAAGTGCATGTAAACACCCCAGAAATTTGTTTGAATGCTGCTTTAATCCACCAAAGCCCTGGCTATGGGAGGTCACAGCCAGCCCTGCTGAGCTGAGCTGGCAGGGAGAACACAGTGCTTTGACTGCTGAAGGAAAGGGAAATAAAAATATCTGTTCTCCTCTGAGCTGCCCCGTGACAACCTCCCTGGGCTCCACTGTATGGGTGCACTGTACTTCTTGTGCAAGTTGGTCATGCCCCGACGTTGGCCATGGCCACCCCAGGCACACACCTCATCTACAGGGTGCCCCTTCCAGTCGTACTGGGCAGGTGACCAGCCATGGGACCTCTTGGTACCCATCTGGCTCTGATGATGAGTGCTTCGAAGGATGACCTCAAAGGGGTCTGCTCCCATCACCATCACTGGTCTCCTGCTCAGTGGGGACAGGGAAACCAGTGAAGCTGCCTGGCAGCTCTGGATCCTAAATCCAGGTACTTTACACTTTTAAAGAGGTTCCTTGTCCTCCTGATGTCCCTGCAATGAGGTGGATGGCAGCCCTAGCCTAGTCCAGCCTGAGCAACCTCAGCTGTCCCACGGGTACAGCTAAGAGAAGAATTCGGTTTTGTCTTTGAGAGCTGCAATTCCTTACCCAACCAAACCATGCCACCTTTGCAGCACATCACCTTGAAGGTTTGGCAATGGGAGACTTGGAAGGACGGTGAGGCAATCTGCTGCACCAGATCAGGGTGCTGAAAACTCAGAGGTCTCACCTGGAGCCAGTGGAGATGACAACACCCAGTTCACTACCCACTGTGGAGGCAGCCTGGAAGCCTCAAGTTTCAAGTTATTAAAGTTAGGAAATATAAATTCCCTCCTCGTCTTCTTTCCTCTGCAGATTCAGCTACACATCTTCGGTCTATAATCATTGGATTCATACTGAATGGGGGTGAGAGGATCAAATCCTCCAGGATATTTTAGTCTCCATGGAAAGGGAGAATTTACCTTCTGGCTGCATATCTGGAAATGGGAAATGCACTGCATATAGCAATGCTAACAAAGTTACCTCTGCTGCTTGAACATCAAAACCAGCAGAGTTAAAATGGTCTCTGAGAGATTAACAAAATGAGAGATTTCTCTTTTACCAGAGACAATTTTCCTATTCCGTTCCTGGCGCTCACATTAGCTGTTTGCATATCCAAACACATTTTTTTTGCACATTTGCTGACTCTGCCAGGGATCTAGATGGGTTTGAAATCAAAGCAAAACTTCTCCAATGGCTTTCAGAGAAAGCTGGGCTGCCATAGCTAAGGAGGGAAACATTTTCTTTCTCCATGTGTAAAAGCAAATGGTAAACTCTTGTGACTGGAGATAGCCTATGGCCAAGCTCTGGCTCTGTTCTAGGTGTCCTTCAAGCTCAGCAGAACTGGGGCTGCTTCTGCTGAGCCAACATAGCCAGGAGGTGTTGGGGGTTTGGGGTCTGGGGGAGGAGTGGTCAGACAAAAAGGTTTAGCTCAGATCCTACATTCAGGGGATCAGATTAATCTGGGCTTTTTCCAGGAGAAAATGCAATTTTAAATGCCCTTCTCAGTTCCATTTGTCCCTTATTCACATTTCTTCCCCTATTAAAACTAACTCATCTCCCCCTAAAATTTGAGCACAAAAGCTGAAATGCGGCTCGGCTAAACCACACCTGCCTCAGTGGGCTTGAATGAGAAATCTCCATCGGCTGTGTTTTCGGCAGGCTGTGTCATCTGAGGAGGGATTCCTCCTCAAGCAGCTTAGCATCCAAAGGGCAGGAGGAAGACACTGTTTCCTTGCTCCCCCCTCTGCCCATGGCAGCAGGGTCCCAACCAGCACACCGGATTTTTTGTATCACTCCCAGAGAGGTACCGAATGAACCACACCAGGCTTAAGACAGGGGCACCAAACCTTTGCTTATCGTGCCAGGAGGGCCGCAGAGATACGCACCTGCCTTACCTACAGGATATACTATAATGATGGAAACTCCCAAAGTAAAGGAGGAGGATGAGCCTTGTGTACGTCCTGGGGTGGGCACTACGGCAGCTTTAGTGGCATAACACCACCGTTTGCAGTCCCTGTCCTGCTCACCCCTGTGGGTTCCAGCCACAAGTGTTGACGCCTTCCTTGAGGTTTTCTCTTAGGAAGAAAAACAGTAAGTTGTAGCTGCAAAGGAAAGTGTCTTTCTCCCAGAAATATCTCCAGAATGAACAAACAACAGTGAAAAAATCAAGCAAAGAGAGGGATCTCTTGCCTGGCCTGAAGGTTTTTAATCCGGGAGAGCATGTCCAGGTGACCGGCTGAATACTGCTCGATGACGTCCATCACGTCGTAGGGCCGAAGGCTCTCCTTGAACTTGCGCTTGGAGACGAGAAATCTCATAATGCTGCAGGAGATGGAGAGGAAAGGCAAAATATAGTCCCTGGGCTGCAGCCTGACCTGCTCAGTGGCAGATAAAAAACACTGCAGGGAGCTGCTTTGGAAGGAAAATGGAATAAATCCCAGCCTTGTGGGTTTGGGAGAGGATGCGGCAAGAGGAGAGGGGAAGGGGATGGCAGGGGCTCATGGCTGAAGCTCTGTCTGCGACAGGGGGTTCCTGATGCCCCTTGGACTATCAGCTGTGTGAGTGTCCGCTCTGCACCGCTTTTATAAATGTCAGCGTTAAATCTCATAGCTGGTGAGAACGACAATTTGGATGCATCCCCGCAGGGGATTTTCCTGTTTCTCCATTTATTCCTTCCCTCAGCAAAAATTGCCCTTTTTGGCAGAATTTTCTGCAAAGGAGGGCAGGCCACCCAGGGGAAAAACAGCCTGCAGCACAGACATTTCAGCATTTTCCACCTTTGCTTGGACTTTAAGTTTCTTTTTTTCCCTATTATTTATTTTTACGGACCGCTTCCCCCCTCTCCCTCTCTTACCACACTGCCCTGATGCTGACTTTCAGTCCCGGTGTCAAATCTTCCGTCACAAACTCGCAGTTGCAGCTTTTGTTCTCATCGGGAATGTCTTCTCCGGGAAGGCTTGCTTCTGGGTTTGGGAGAGGGAGGAATAAAGACAACGCGTTACTATTTCGCATGCTGGTGCCATGTGAGAAAAGGCGAGTCGGATCCCAAACAGCAATCCCAGTGGGAAGCACCACAGATATCTTCGCTGAGCATCCCGATGGGAGCATGTCCCAAGACGTGTTAAGGTGACATCCAGCAATGCCAACTGCAGCTCTCATTCATCTCTAGATGCCTGACTCTTTCTCCTTTCCCCATCCGTATATACACAAATATATACATTATAATGGGTGCCAGCAGAGGTTTTCTTATCTGTTATACCCAAGCTAAAGGACTGGAAGGGGAAGGAGATCTAGACAAGCACCCTGGCTTGCAGCTCTGCCCTTCTTAAGTGGGAACGGAGAAGATGTTGGGGTTGGATGGGGCTTCAGGTTCCGGCACAGCGCCCTAAGCCCTCACCTTCTGAGTTTTGCCGTGACGCCGCTCCCTTGATGCGGAAAGCTTGCCGGGCTCGGCTGCGGTCTCCGAAGCTCCAGCTCTTGGGCACTTTGCTCGGGCTGTCCTCGATGCTCTGGTCAGCGCTGGGGGACCTCCGGATGCCCTGAGCCTGTGGAGAGCCTTTCCCTTTGGTGCCAGCACCGCGGGGACTGGAGAAGACACGATCTTTCAAACTGACCTTCTGACTGTTCAGAGAAACACGTTGAAACAAAGACAAAAGGGAGACAGCAGGAGGAGTCATTCTGGAAACCACGCAGTCCTTCCCCACCAGCCATTAGAAACCAAGAGCACTTCCAAGCAGCAGTGAGATGTAGTTTTGCTGTTGGCTTTTTTTTTTTTTAAATATATTTTGTTGTTGTTGTTGTTAAAGAAAGCATTGTAGAAATGTTTCCGCCACAATGAATGAAATGGGAATGATTATTAAGAGAGAGATAAAATAATGAGGACTTAAACAGAAGCCCCTCGTGGGATGCCAGGGCTGGCGGGACAGAATGACATTAAACAATGAGGTTATGATTCCTTAAATCACTGATCGGCTCCGATCACGAGCGAGGAAGCTTTTCTTTCACAACTGCCTTCCAAAATCCTATATCTAATAAGAAAATGCCTATAAAAAAACCCCTTTACCTTCAACTTTTAACTTTCTTGGAAACACTTCACTTCTGGTGCTCAGAGCTGTCCTTTCCCATTCTTCAGCTGCTGTATTTCCTCCCTCTTGAAACATGATCTGCCCCTTTTATATATTCCATAGAGTTCCTCTTTTCCAGTCATATATTCAAATACTTAAATATGAGCACTTAAATGGGCGACTCCTTTGTATCCTATAAAGATGCAATCCAAAAGCTAGCTACCATCTATCTGCAGGTCTGCTACGAGTGTCATTAACATGCAAAGGAAAATTCTACAAGTTCAGAATATGGCATTTTATTGCTGATTTTCTATTAGAATCCCATTATTTTAAAAAACCATGTAATTATGGTTTGAAAAGAAGATCACTCCAGCAACAGAGACGATCTCACTGAGAAATAGTCTGCTGGCCCAGCTCTAATTATTTTCCAAATTCTGAAATTTGTAATAAAAAACTTTCTTCCAAATGAAGATGATGAATTTTCACAGGAAAATTGCACGAGAAGATGAGTTTGTGAGTCTTTACGAAAGGGCAAACCTTATAGAGACACCACTGGGGAAACCAAACTGCAAATAGTTTTGAATAATTTGTTATCTTCTGAACGGCAATTGATTATTAAAATATACTAATAGAGGTTTAAACAACCAATGCAAGGCACTTGCACATGTAGCTAATATTTTATATGTAGGCAATTCAAAGCTGAGTAAAACCACGGATTTAATTCCCAGTACTCTGTACCACCGCAGTAGCTACTTATCATTTTGCTGCAAATGCTCTGACTCAATTTGTGGAAAGACCATTGCAGGAATTTTGATTTCCACATCAGACTGCCAGGTCACCAACCAAAGACCTGGTTTTTTTCCGTCTCTCAGCAACACCACCTCAAAACTCAGAGCCAAACAGTCCTCCTTTGCCTTCAAAACTGGCACGAGGTTCTTCAGTCAGAATTTCGCTGCTGATATTTGAAGCAAAGCAAAATGCAACTCCCTTTTCCCCAGCCGTGTCAGCTGTACTGTGCTGACGGGAACAGACGCTCGTTTTTGTCAGTAAAGGAAGATGATGTGACTCAAAGACACACTCAGGAGGATGGGGCCAAACTCTTTTCAGTGGTGCCCAGCGACAGGACAAGGGGCAATGGGCACAAACTGAAGCAGAGGAAGTTCCAGCTGAACATGAGGAAGAACTTTTTCCCTCTGAGGGTGACGGAGCCCTGGCCCAGGCTGCCCAGGGAGGCTGTGGAGTCTCCTTCTCTGGAGATATTCCAGCCCTGCCTGGCCGCGGTGCTGTGCAGCCTGCTCTGGGTGACCCTGCTTGGGCAGGGGGTTGGGCTGGGTGACCCACAGAGGTCCCTTCCAACCCCGACCATGCTGGGATTCTGTGATTCTGTGATTTGTTGAGTAAGAAGGAGCTATTTTTACAAAGTCACTTGTCATTGCGATGTGCCGAGTGTTTACAGGGAGAGCAGGGGGCTTAGGCAGCCTTCTCCGGGGTTGCACGGCGTGATGGCAGGGAGGCAGCGCTGCCCAGATGCCATGCCTGGGGGTCAGGGAGCGCAGCCCCTGGGCTGCAGGGCAGGGTTATCTGTAGCCACTGGCTGGGCAAACAATTTCAAGATGCATTTGAGAGAAAATCAAATTTGTTCATAACCAAGTTAGAAAAGGCAGAATTATTCCAATTAATGATGCATTTTTAATTCGGACAAGTACCGAAGATATAATTTCCAGTGTGCTGCACACCTGCAATGCAGTCATGGGACCAACAGATGTTCAGCGTGGCTGAAAATCAGATCAGAGGTACAAATCCACACAGGAATCTCGGAACAGCATGTGCCTAAATACCTTTCTGGATGTAAGCCTTAGTCACTAATGCTACCAAAATCATCATACACAACCAGTCAAATGTTTAAAAGCAATTCCCATTCTGTGTTTCTCGGATTAGAAAACAGATTGAAATTTTATTTGTTGCTTCATCCTAAATAGGCAAATTGGATTGTTTTTTTCTTTATTTTAGTTGATTTTATGGAATAGTATTCCTGGAATCTACTGCATTTCAGTAGGACTAATAGTTTGAAGTACCTGATCTTTTTAAAAAATAAGTTTTATAAAAACAAATCAGCAATACACCAATATTCAGAATTCAAAGCAATCTCTTAGTGCCTCATCCTCTGCTGAGTTGTTCCCATCACCAACCTCTGCGTACAACCAGTTGCCTGTCACTGAGTAAAGCAGGGCCTTTTCTTTGAGGCCCCTTTTCCATTCCCACAATAAATGTGCTGCAAATGCTTGCGAGAATCACAACAGGCAAAAAAGAATGCATTGAACTCAGTGAGGAATACGAGCAAAGAGTTTCAAGCCTGATAGCATGAGGTGCAACACACACATTAAAAAATCTCATCGAAATTTGATGAACAATAAAGATCTGGGTGGGTTTTGCTCCTGAGTACTCGCTAGTCAGAAAAAACCCCAACACCTGATTGAGCTTGTTTGTTTTAACACAGATGACATGAGACAATATGAACAATTAACTGAATTTCTCCTTCTCCCATGCAATTCTCTCATTGCAAATGACACCTGGAATCACATGCAAGTACGATCCCTGCAGCGGAGGATGCTATTGGGGTCTGCAGGAGCTGGTAGGGAAGAGTCAAAAAAAAATATAGACATATATAGAGATATATGTTGTCAGCTAATCCAAGATCATGTTCTCATTCAACCAGAAAGTCATGCAGAGTGACACCGAGTGTCTCGGAGAAGTGGGATTTAGATGTCACTCAAGCAGATGGCAAATGAGCCTCAGATCAGTGGAAAGTGCACGTGTCGATGACGTGAACATGAGGAAAGCAGTAACCCAGCCACACACGACATGAACTGAAGCTTGTAATTGTGATAGCTAGGAGCGGTGCGAGCACGGGGCCAGCACTCAGCTCGTTCCAGGAGGAAGGGAAGGGAAAGAAAACTGTGGCTTTGCAACCAGAGACAAAGATTATGGGAAGCCATAACAGCGTAATAGGGTGGACTTTGGTTCCTAGGTCTTCATAACAACTTCCAGGTGGCATCTATTAAAAACATATTTGATAACAAAAAAATTATAATGTTTCCAGGCTGACTTTGGGGAAGGCTTACAAAACTTTCAGTTTTTGACTTGAATTTAACAAAGGATAGAAACTGAGTTGACTCTTTCTCTGCTGCCAGTCAAAAACGAGACCCCATGCTGGACAAACGTGCAAAGACGAAACCATGGTCCCACAGCTGATAGAAAGATGCTCACTGCTTTAGTGGGCTTTTCATTTGCGTTCATTTAGGACCAAGCGCCCAGCACTCAGCAGCAAAACGCATGAGAACTGCCCTTCACATGAGGTGCCACCAGCCTCCGTAGGATGCTGGGGGTCTGAGCTCCCGTTTGAAACCCTCCAGTTTGGAGTTCATTCCACCACCCTCTACAGTATTAAATCAGCACTTTTAAAAAATGTAGACTCATTACATTAGCAGTAATTTTGGATCAATAAAAAGTATCACCTGTAATTTCTTGTTATTGATTTTGAACTACGCTTGAGCAATTGTTTCATTTTCTCCTTCCATTTTGTAGGCAGCAAATGTTCGCCAAACTGAGCTACGGGAACATGGACTCAGACCCATCCCTGCACAGGATCTCAACCAGTAACAGTGATCTTCTGAAATGCTACGTCCTGGAGAAAGAGGCTATCTCCTATTGGGAAATGAGGCTGCTTTTTAATCCAGAGTTTGTGCTGAGCTCATGGCATATGAGAACAGCTTGTTAAAACCAAGCAGGAGTGGCAGGAGTGAATGCTAGCCTTTGTGGTATCAGTGGGCTCCAGTCTGGTCACATGTGCAAATAAGGGGCAGAAAACAATTAGTGGAGACATGAAAGAATGGAAAATACATCTATGTGTGCAACACTTGCCATGACTAGAGCAGAAATCAACAGAGGACCAGGCTCTAGCCTGGTTTGCCTCCAGCGATTTCAGAAAAGCCATTACAAAGGTGATTTCAGCCCAAAGAATGGAGTTTCTAGAAGCAGAGCAACCTGGGCATAAGGAAAACAAAAGGTCAGCCAATGATCAACATCATGGTGAGCAATTCCTCTTCTCTTCCTCATCCACAGTCATGGTGTTAGACTTGGGTTGAAGGGATTCACAGAAATCATAACAGGAAAGACCGGAGTTGCACCATACCCGCAGCCACCACGTAAGCCTGACCTTGGGTGAGTGAAGGGACACTGGAGCCAGACACACTGCTTTAACCTTGGCTTTTGGTATTCTGCAGCATTGCTGTTACACCATCACCCCTCTCTTCCTAACACACAGTGTTTTTTCCCCAAACTGATGCCGAGTGCTGTCAAACACCACATATCCTGCATCTTTAGCAACCTCCTGCTATTTGCCAGCTCAGCTGTTTTGCATTTCAGGAGAAAAGCAGAACATCTAGATTGCATCTTCAAGCTGGCTGATTATTTCTAAACAAGACTTTAAGAAATATTCTAAACCCAGACCCGCAGGCTCGTCAAGGGCTCTGCAAACACCTTTCCTTCACTGGTCTGCGTGTTGTTTCTTCCCACTGTCAGGTCTCCGTGGTGTCTTCATCTCCCTGAGCAGACACCAGGAAAGTCTTACAAAGCAGAATACAATAGACCTGATAATCTGGCTTGCTATAGTTACATTACTGTCTAAAAATGCATGCATTATTGTGTTTATTGACTAGAGATCCTTGGTTTAGTACATTAAGAAACCACGGCTTCCTAAGGAATTTTCTATTAATTTACTTACATTGAGTTTTTCATGATTGCCTCATCGTTTACTGTTATCTCATTATATGCGTCCTAGATGAAAGCTTTTAGCACTCAGACTCAGAGACATCAAAGTGCTGGCATCTGCCCCTACGAGTTTGTGCAGTGGGGGATTGCAGGCAGGTAGCCCAAGGATCAGGGAAAACAAGACATTTGAATTATTTGCATGTCTCCCTAAGGTTAACCTATAGTTTTACTAAAGCACAGTGTAAAACACTACGTTCAGGATGGATGCAGGTAACACATGCTCTTGTAGCTACTCCAAAGTTCAAGGCTCCTTTTTGACTGGAAGAACCACAGTCTGTAATCCTCCTTCTCAGGGTTTCCAATGGATTAAGAAGATCTTAAGATTATCTTAAGAAGATAATAATTTGTTTCATCCTCCCTTTCCCTTGCAGAATCTAAGATGGGGGAGATTAAATAAGGACCACAGTGGGAAGGAATTCACTAGAAAACAGAAAAAAATATACTGGCTGTACCAATTAAAAATTCATGCCTAGGAAGACATGCAAGGAAGACATTAAGATCAGAGTGGCTGATTTTCCAGAAAACAGCACCGAACATGGACAGGTTGAGAGGACAGCATTACAAACATCAATGCTTGTTTTCATCTCTGCCAAAACCAACCTCAACATTAAGCAATCGAAAGGAGCATTTCTCCTGGGAGGAGTTCATGCTTGCACTACGCCTCCGCTGCCACGGATAAAACAACCTCACCTAGCAAATGGCAACACTACAGAAGTCATGATCATTTTTTTTCAGCTAGACTATTAACCAAATATTTGTCATTTGGAAATGTAATGAAACGTTGTTTGTGCAACTGATGATAACCCGATATTTAAACCTGACCTTTCAAGGACAAACTTCAAGGAAGGCCACAGTACCATCAAAATACACAGCAGGAGGCTAACTCCAAGATTCAGGCTATTTATCCAGGTACAAGGGATTTCCTACCATGAACAACTGTTTACGAAGACACCTAGGTCGTGCCCGCTTCCTCTTTGTTACCCACTCAGAGGTGGGATTTACCACACTACTTCTGAGCTGCTGGGACATGCAAGTCTCAGGTGTGAGCCTCAGCCTCTAGTCTGACAGATAATAAAAAGAGCCAGCAGGGAAAAAAACAGCAAGAAAAGAAAAGATACAAGTTGGAACAATTAATGGAGAAAATCAGAGATACATATACTTTCAAAACCGTAGTTTTATACTTTTAAAACTGTAGTTTATTGGCTTTCTGAGGGAGACAGAGACTGGTGATTTTGAGAATTAAAACGGACTCCAGAAGAGAGCATGCAAAAATCCAATTTCACAAACATGCGGCATCACTCAGTGCCCTGCCACTCCTGGGCCTTCACCTGCCCAGCTGCGGGGGGACGCGCCGATGGGGTTCACCTGCCAGCATTCACAGCATGCAAACTCTGGGCATTGGTAACTCAAGATGGTGCATGTTCGCTGCTGAGAAGCAGCATCTGGGTCTGGGGAAGAGACTCTTCCAGTGCAGGCGTGGAAGTAGACATATTTATGCATAAGTAAAATAAGATGTATGTTTCTGTGTACCCTTATGGCCATCACTAAGGGATGCTCACTGGGAATCCTCTGAAGCCACCTAACAATTATCAGCTTGATGAAAAAGATGAAAACGCTACTTGTACAAAACCCTCTGCTCTAGCTATCTGTTCCCCATGGGATCTAGAAACAGAACCATTCACAACGCCAACGTCAACGCTTAGGGGAACCCGTATCCCCTACGTCTGGTGGGACAGGCTGAGATTAGTCCTTCTCTAGCTGCGTAGTAGAGGTGCTAGATAGGCAAGCCATGGCTTCCAAAGGCCACAAGACTAGGAAAGGTCAATTTGTAGTGTTCAGAGAGCCAAAGGAACGGTGACTGAGCAGAGGTAGGAAGCTGGTATTTCTCATGCTACTAACTTGATATGGCTGTACAGTGCAATTCAGTTTGCAAGGATTCCTTGGACCTTGAGGAGGGATGGAGCAACAGGGAGGAAGGGGTCTTTTTAAAAGATTTCTTTTTAAAAAAATAAATTTCCATCATTTGTTAAACTTCTGTTCCTGGCCGCCTTCATTGCTGAGCAGATACTGGCTTACTAGCCCAGACCAAATTCCCCATCCTCGTCTCTTTGAATCACATATTCTGCATGATGAGCAGACAAGGAAGCCTCTAACTCCTGAGCGGGCAATGGAGAGGCTCTTTCACCTTTTTTTACTCATCTAGTACCTCTATTAAGCAGAGAAGTGATCAGAACAGGTGGTAGCAGGGTAGAGGGAGAATGAGCCGTGCAGCTTTTGATTAGTTCCGTGCGACGCATTTCCCGTGGTACCTAGAGTTTCCTGAGCAGCATCCGCATAGTGACTCTCTGCACGGTTTGCTTTTACTGGAAATGAGGGGAGAGTAAAAATTAGACCTGGAAGCAAATGCCAGACAGGAAACTTTTGATTACTGAGTCTAGGTTTAAAAGACAGGTGTTTTGAGGGCCGGGTTCATGACAGGATTTTTCTGTTTGAGCGTTAAGTGAAAAAAAAGATAAAATCAAAAAGGTTTCTGAAATTTGTCTCACTGTGGTCAACCAATGTCATTATTAGAAATGCCTCATTCTGTATTGAATTGGTGGCATCAGTTCATCCACAATTGACTGAGTGATTTTTTCATCTGCACAGGAAATAAAAAGTACTCTCTTCTTTCTCTCAACAGATAAAAAAGGCTTTTTTTTGTAATTCTCTAAGCCATGGAGAGACAAAACTTAAACTTGTTTTGTCCAACAACATCCAAAAGGTTGAAATTTATTCTCTTTTTTCCAAAAAACAAACCTCAGAAAGAGAGCTAATCTGTGAATTATATGCACTTCTCATACAGGAAACACATTTCATTAAGCATGGTATTTAAAAAAAAAAAAAGATGAAAACGGAGTGTGGTGCAGTCCCTTATGGGAAGGGATCTGAACATCCATGTTCATGCATCTCTTTTTTGTAACGCTTTTTAGACGGGCCCTACCACTTGTGGGGAGTCACTGGCTTTGCTGAGGCACCACCACAGCTCCCGTGAGCCCATCCCAAATCGCTGCTCAGGCACTGCCCTGCCAGGAGATCGCCACCACGACCAGGGTCCTCCACGCCATGGAGCAGCCCTCTACCTGCAGAAGGGTAATGACATGGCCCCATCATCCCACCTGGCCACCAGCGGGCATCACTTGCTGAGTTCATGGAGACGCTGAAAAGGCTGAAGCGCATAAAAACCCAATCTTGTTTGACACTTGAACTCAGCAATCAGAGGAGCTCGTGGGCAAACACAGAAGGAATTTGCAGGAATTCCTTCTGCTTCGCGGCATCCCGTGCAAGCTCAGTCAACACCACCCTCTCCATCCTGGAGACTCCCCAGGTGCCCACAATGGGACCCTGCATCCCCAGGGAGCCCCGGGGACCGGTGGTGCTACCGGGGCTGTTCTGGAGCTGGGGTCTGAGCATCGCAGTGTGGGAGTGGGATATTCAGCATGCAGAGCCTCAGGGAGACACATGGGTCACTCCCTTCTTAGTCTCCTCTGCCGTCCCTACAGAAAGATGAAGTCCCTTCTGTGCAAATAATCCGCTCCCCTAAAGGCAACCGATTATTTCCAGATTACTGTCAGTCCCAGCATGAGTCTCTGACACCAGTTTAATCGGTTACAAGGTCAAACACCAACCCAGGCTAACATTGCCCATCGGGCTCCTGTGATTGATACCAGTTTCCTTGGGCACTAGCGGTCAATGACACCTCGGACTCCCTAGGTTGGATGAGCAGGGGCCCACTGAGTCAACCAAAGGCATCCTCCAGTGCGTACAAAAGCCTTAATCACACCCCTGAACAGAGATATTAATGTCGTGTGTATCTCAGACAGACATACACATACATTGATATATAGATAGGTACACACACAGATATACATACACGTTACAAGGCGGCCCAGTCCAGCATTCAGTCAATATAATGGCCAAGGTCTTGCTGAGTTCATTAGGGTCAAGGACAAACCACAGCTGAGGACAACCTTCCAAAGAGGTTCCTCTCATCACCTACAGGGCTGAACTCATGCTGGACAAAGTAATCTGAGTTATAGCTTCCCAGTTCCCTGGAATACTTCTGTTTCTTTTTTTCCAATATTAATGTATTACTATGATCATTTGGTTCATTAATTTTTAGTTTTTCACCCAATTGTATTTTGGAAAATGCAAGAGGAAGAAACGTGGTCACAGATGCCTTCAGATGTTGATCAAACCATCTGCTAAAGAGCATCCGAAGCAGACATTTCATACAGGAGCCTCCGCAGTCCTGGCTAACCATATGTTTGTCTTTTTGACATGACAATCAGAAGACAAAATAAACAGAGACGAGATGCCACAGCAGATTTCCAGCCTGATTAACACAGGAGTAATCAAACCCTGTTACCGCTCTGAATTGCTGGCTTTCTGCAGCAGGAGAGGTGAGAAAGCCCCCCCACAGAGCAGCCCTCCTTCCCTGGGGTGATGAGGCTCATATTTGGACCCGGCAGGAAAGCAGGGTGGTCTTGGAGGCATGATGGGCACTAACTGTTCTGGCAGCAGCAGCCAGCCCAGGGAAGGGTGGGTGGCCACTTCTTCTGGCCAAGGCAGATGGTAGGATGGACACAGCGCCCAAAGCGATGGGCAAGAGAGGAGCCTCAGTAAGCAATTTTTTGAAAAGGGAGGGAAACAAAAAGGGGGAAGAGATATGCAGCATGTAGAAAAAGGCCAGCATCTTTCCTGCTCATCACAGCCTGGGCTCTGTCACGGGGAGGTGAGCTACTGTGCCCCTGAGCAGGTCAGCACATAGCTTCTCGGCACTCGGTCACGGATGGATGCAGACAAGCTCGCGGTGGAAAACAAAACAGAAGCGATAGAGAAAGGACGTAACCTGTCTCTCCAATCAGCTGCCCCATTTTATGCCATGACCAAATCAAAAGCCACCCGAGCAATTCCAGAGGACCCCGAGCCTCCGCCACGCTAAACCCATCGCTTCCCCATGTCCTCCCACCCCAGGCAGCCGCTCCCCGAGTGCTGTCTGGGCAGAAATCGGCACGGCTACAGCAGCACTGGAGTCAGAGGGCAGGACCCCGGCAGCTGCCCCGCGCACTGGCCGGGCTTTTGGGACGCTCCCTGACCTTGCAAGGCAACGCTCGTCTTGCACAGAGTTTTCCCACAAGCCATGCCAGCATCCTTTCTCTAACTTAAAATATATTAAGATGCAAAATAGTAAAAAAGCTATTTCTGTTCTGTTTGCTGTAAGGACTTTGTGGTGTATCAGTTATGGAAAGAGGGATATAGGAAATCAGCCACTCCCTACAGGTAACCACCACGGGAGGAAGATCCAGCTGTCCCCAGATGAGAGACTGCATGTTTCCTCACATTGATGGAAAGTGGTAAACCCTTTACCAGCCGAAGCAATAGAAGTGTGGTGCTGGGGTTTGCTGTGAGAGACGATTCATCCGGAGGAGATTCCTAAGTGAAACAGTCACCAGCGACAGACCAGGGCTGGATGATTAACTGACGGGTGGGCAGAGAAACAGGACAAGTTTTCTCTTCCAAGTGCAGGATGACACACTGAGCAACACTGTGAGGCTGCTGCAAATCCAAGCAGGTGGGAGATTTGGGATGTGAATGTAAAAGATCCAGAAATTTTTATCTGGGAAAACAGCTGATTTGGGCCACTTGAATATAGGGACCCTTATGAGAAACTCCTTCCTGAGGTCTGCGACATTATCAGATGGAAAAGAGCAGTAGGAGCAGGTAGAATTGATATCCCCCTAACAAAGCACAGAAGGAAAGAGCTTTGGTTCTGCTACGGCAGCTGAACGGTACAATGTGGAAAGGACTCTAATGCCACATACACGGCAGCTGCAGACCCTCCGCTTCAGGGTCTGGGTTAGCATCTGACAACAGAGGGCAACAAACCCCTCCGTGTCACAGCAGACAGATACACCACAGCAGGAGGAAAGCAGCATTTGGAAATGAACCTGGTGAAGGAGCTACATATTGTAAAAAATACTCTAAAAAATGGCAGTGAAAGGCTATTTTTACTTCATTCTGTGGCACAAGATTAAGAAAGCAATGTAGAAAATGAAGAGGGAAAAACCTGCAACATCTACGAAGAAATATTATATCCAACCCAGTGTTTTAACTGGCGAAAATGAACCCTTCAAGACAGGACTGAGATTCAAAAATAAGACTACTGCCTCAGAAATAGACTAGTGCCTGCAACTGCAGGGATGCTGGCTGGTGTGACCCTGCGAGGGACCGTCCGTCCTCTGATTTCCTCTGCTACGGAGCTGATCAGGTTGAACAGGTATTTCGTCTCGTTGCACAGTCATATGCCTGTGAGAAATGTGGATTTACCCTTTGATGCATCCAAAGGATGTCAGTGGCTGAGAGCCAGGCCCCTGGGATGAAATGCAGACCCTCCTGATGCCACGGGCGGGTGGCCAAGATTTCAGCCTTGGTCTGCTCCCAGGAAGCACTTCCCATGTAACGCTCCCTGCTTTAAAAAAGCTGGGTGGAGGCTGCCTTCGCTCTCACTATACAGGCTGAGACTCCAAGTAGGAAAAAACAAATTCTGCATGGCTGAAACATGATCTTGGAGATTTGGTGTAATTAGTAGGAAAGTGGATGGAGTGCTACAGAGGTTCTGCTTGCAAAGAAAAGCTCAAATGAAAGACAGAAAAAAAGATTTGGGGGAAAAGAAGGAAGGAAGGATGAAATTTTCCTCCCTTCAGTCAGCACCATATCTACCCAGATATCTTTGGTTGGATTTTATGCCAGGGAAAAATTAGTTTCCAGCCTCTTATAAGCTAAAAGGCACAGCAGAAAGTTGCATCTGCAAAGCCCTAGTTATACTTTTGAAAAATAAAATCAGAGTTTACGATATTTAGGCTGTAAGCTATGTTTTCAGATACGAGATGGAAGATCTAAAAGCCACGCAAGATGATCTCCACAGATCATCAGTTCTGTGTCTCACCTCCCAAGATAAAAAAATGAGATTCAGTCTCAGAATTACTTCTTAAAAGAATGGGAAAATATCGGACAAAAAAATCCCAGAATTAAATACTTCTAAGGGGATTAAAAGTATCCTAAAAGTATTCCAAACACCAGCCCTGTTGCTTTCCCTGGGACATGTGAATAGAGAAAAGCTCTCCCATAGGTGAGATTTACGGCTGCCCTTGGAAGGTGCTCGCCACGTCTCAGAGGGCGCCCGGCTGAGCACGCTCTGCACAGTGGACTTGAGGCATGGAGGGAAGACAGAGCAGGGACTGTGCTTCATCCAGAGGTTGTGAGGCCAAAGGGGATGGGGTGGAGCAAGGGTGTCTCTGCCATGCAACGTCGTGCCGTGTCAGAGAGCCCTCCTGTGTCCCACGGAGCAGCAGGTCCACGCAGCCCTATGCAGTGCCCTACAGCGAGAGGAGCTTGGAAGAAGTTGCTAACTCGATGACACGGTGATGGCTTCGTGTTCCCATGTCACCTCCACCTGGCAAGGCGTGGGGTGATGGAGACATAGGCAAAGCATCACCTACCCATCGGCACTCATTGAGCCTGCGTTATACTTTTTCAGCTACAAGTCCAACAACAAAAGAAAAAAAAAAAATAGCAGCATAACCCAAAGCCCTGCCATCACCCCGGATAAGTGTCTGCCAGCTCTGCCCGTGCTGCCCACCGCTCTCTCTAGTCCCCACAGCCTCGCTATCCTCGCAGCTACAGCCCGAGGCAGACTGGAAGGAAGATATGATTTAAGGTCCAGCATACACGTAGATACATTGGACTGCCACAGCACAGAAAAAGCACGTTAATACCTAGAATGCTTCCCTCGATGGCGCCACGACATGGTACACACACGCACACACGTACAGAGAAATCTACGGGTAATGCATGGGAATGGCGTGTTGGCAGTGATACAGACCTTGGCGATGGTTCGGGCTGCTGCTCTTTCCTTTAAACAGAAGCAATAGTACATTAGCATGGTGTCAGGTGGCAAAAGATGTTGCTGCTTCACTGTTAAAACATAACGAAAGGACAATACCAAACAATACAACTAAGTGGAAGTTGTGGACAGAAGAAAGGGAAAGGAGCACTTCATTCCTGGAGTTTCTGGCCCGGACAGAAGATCACTGGAGACTCACACAACCTCAGAGAAGACACATACAACGCACAGGGTTGAAGAGTTTATCCCAACCCATCCTTGTGCCTACGCGTGACTGAGACACCTGAGGGTCGTGTGATTTGTGTGAGCACAGGAGGACTTCTGTGGGCTCAGAGAGTGGCCCGCTTCGTTTGGAAACGCACCGCCCCGAGTTGTTTCTGCACATCGGGAGGGATCTGAATGGCTCCCGTCACCTTGGTGCATTTGCTTTTCCTTCCTGGCCATTGGGACAGAGCTAATGTCAGATCTCTTGGTGCACAGCTTCATGTCGCAATGCTAACGCATGGTGCTGGGGGGACATCGGTGGGAAGGAGGATGGACCCCTGCCCTGAGGTCCTGACACCCCAGAGGGGCTTCTGCCTCCAAAGCCTTTGGCAGCTACTTGGCCAAAATAGTTGGCAAAGGCTACATGGAGGGAGTGGGGAGCCACACCTTTTGTATGAGGTTTCCTACTGAGATGCCAGACCACCTGATTGCCCTGAAACATCATTGACATTGAGGACAAAGTGAGCTGAACACCTGCGAAAGGGCAGGCATGACACTGCAAGCCAAGCTAAGGCCACACTGCAAAAAAAAACCCCTCACCTTCACTGGCAGGGCGTCTTGGTGGCATTTCCCTCCAGCAATGAGGAAAACCTGCTCTGCCTTCAACTACTCTGATTCACAGCTTCTTCACACTGGGAAATTGCATTTAATCTGGGGCCCGAAGCAGCCTTGCCCCTGCTGCCCCACAAGAGAAGGAGCAGACTGTGTTTCTCAGCAGGTAAGGGCTTGCCTCTCCTAACACCAGACAGTCTAAGGGACAAACCACACTGCGAGAAGACCTGGGCAGGAGGAGCTCGATTCTCTCTGAGCGTGATGCTGTACCAGCCCCAGCCCTGCCTCCACCCAGCAGTGACCACTGAGACGCCGAGATCTGCACAGACCCCAACCTCTCTCCCTGAAGGCAGCAGCCTGGAGAGACTTCAAAAAATGCCCCTCCGCCCTCTGCTCCTTGCTCGGACAAGCCTGGAAGCCCAGCCTCAGTCACTACCTCAAACACATTCTAAAGTTTGCAGTCTGACCCATGGGTCTACAGATCTCTACTCTCCGCAGAGACACACAGCCAGGGCAGGTCCCATCTCACCCCGCCCCGGCTGGCCGTGATGCCCACAGTACGCCCAGCATCTCCCCATCCCTCCTGGGGTCTGCACATTCCCCGTTCACCAAATGGGGCAACTTCGCCTGCTTAAAAAAACAAGAATTATGCCTCCTGAGCACACATTTAAGCTGCAGGACTCCTGGCTTTCTGAGGAAATCATGTATACCTTGCCACAGCAAATTTAGTAAAAATTTCTCACCACTACAACCATGCCTGCTCTCAGGGGAGGCGAGGAAGGCTGGAGGGAATGGGGAATTAATTAACACATTGCGGGCCTGAGTCTCCTCTGAGGGCGGTGAAGAGCAGAAAGGTCAGAGGAAAACTTTGAACGCTACCTTGAATCAGACTCTTTGAAAATACGACTTTGCATTTTCAGCCAAGCATTGTAACATTACTCCAGAGCCAAGTTAGACTGAAGAAAGTCATGTAGAGTATGGGAGAGGGATGGGGAGGAGGCCACCGAACGACCCATGGGGCACCAGCTGCCAAAACCTCTTACATCTTCAAGGCTGTCCACATGCAAAAGGCAGGAAGGAAAGAAAAAAAAAGAAAAAGAAAAAAAAAAAACAGCAAAAGGAAAAGGTTGCAAAGGCTGTGCTTTCCAAGCTCTCTTAACTCTGCTGCTAACCTGAATGTCAGTCCCGATTTGCTCTTCAGGTTCCTCAGAAGCTCCAGCTGGTTCAGAGGAGGGATGAGTCTAGAGGGAGAAAATAAAGACCATCAATATTCAGGTAGAGCTGATTTCAGAGCCTCCTGTCTTGGAAACTCCACCCGCTGCCCCATCCTTTCAACTAGAACCAGCTTTGTGCCACCAACTGCAACTGGGAGACAGCTTGGGAAGGATGGAGAGGGAGTTGGCTGCTACTTCCACCAGTGTCCTAAGGCAGAGTAGTGGGGTAAGAGAGAGAGAGCGACAGCAAGAGAGAGAGAGAAACTTGTCTGCACCGCCGGATTTTGAACCTCCCAGTAAAAAAGCGGCTGCCAGGGTTTCTGAGCAGCACGGTGGTGTCTTGGCAGGAGAGCTGTTTCTCCACCTGTAGTCTAGCAATTGGCATTGCCATGTTTGGAGGTCAGTGCTTCAGCTGTTTATTAGGTGGACAGAAGATCCAGTTTCAGAGGCAAATGGGAAAACTCAACCCTGCTGCTCTTGGGAATGTGGGGACGCATGGGAAGAAGCAGCTTATGGGGCAGAGGAAATAGGGACACCAGGCTAGGAGCGTCCCAGGAGAAACAGCAGTGCGCTCTGGGGTCAAGTTTAAACCAATTCCCTGCTGTTCATGCCAGGTTTTGCCCCCAAACAAGGCAAAATCAGGTATCATTGCCTCCTAGGAACCATGGGTTTCCTTCCTTTCTCAGAAAGATAAAGAGCCTGACAATGGTAATTCTGGTTAATAATTAGAAAAAAAAACTACAACCAAACACCCTGTTGCCTATCCTGCTTTTGTGCTAAAAGCCATTGAATTTAGCTCCCCACATCTACTTGTGGTTTCTTTGCTCAGACCCTGGGAGCTTGCTCCATAAATATTTGGCGCTGATATTCAGTCTGGCTTTCAACCACGAGAGCCGTGGGCTGGAGGTGTCAGGGGGAGGATGCAGAACACAACACGCAGTTGGGAAGAGCAGCATCTCCTCAACAGCACCCTTGAGGACCGTGCGTTCGGGGCCAAGGCCAACGGGGCTCATCCCACAGCTTGCTGCAAACTCCTTTCCGGGCCACCAACCTGCCCTTGTCAAACTGTTGGGAGTGCCACATGTCATCCCTGTGCCCAGAGAGTGCAAAGTCAGCACAGCAGCCGGCTCTGGTCGCTGCTGTGACAAGCGAGCGGGGGGATGCAGCAAGGTGCATCATCGCAGGGATGACGAGGAGGATAAGTGGCCACCGGTGGGCTGGGAACAGGCTGCCTGCAGCTTCGCACATCTGTGCAGCTGAGGCCACAGCGTGAAGAGCCACAAGCCCCAGGCAGCATATATGGCTTTGATGGAAAATTAACCACGTAGGTTTTAATCAAAGCATGAAGGACCTACTCAAACTGTCCCAAAACTGCAACGTAGGACTGGAAGGGAAGATATGACGTGCTTGCAGACTAACAGACTGGTCTCAGCTGAGGTGGTGTAAGAAATGGGGCTGTTGCTTACTGTCAAAAAAAAAAAAAGGCAGAGATATTCACGCCCACATTTTTTCAGCCATTATGAGACCAGTAGTTTCACATTTTTCCTCTAACTGAAAAAAACCCAACTGGAAAAGCCTCTCCTCTGCACGCACAAAACTCATCCTCCAAGGCACAGTTGTTCAGCAGAGCAGATCTGGTGTTCACGAGATTGAGGCAATCAGAAAATTTTCCAATCCCAAGTACGGAGAAAAGAATAAAAATAGGCCTGAAAATTTTGGCTCAGCTCCCCAGTCCAGCTCTGTTCGCTTCCACCCAGAGAAGAGCACATCTTGATCTGATGAATTAATGATCCTCTTCACTCAAGATGTCAGGAAGAAGCTGACCTTGGTGCAGTGGAGCAGTGCATGAGCGCTGGGCTGTCACCTCCCTTCAAACCCACCACTGAGTTTGCAGATTTATTCCAGGATGGGAGAAGGTGGTGCATAAAATCAAGCACAAAGCATACTTAGCAGTTCATGAAGGGTGCGCAACGGTGCTTTGGTGAGTTAGTTTCTCAGAGAGGTCCATACCCAGCAGAACATAGGACAACAGCCCCACTTTCTCCAGCTCGGACCACAAACCCAGAGCTCCCACCGATGCAAGTCCCAGACCTGAAGAGCTCATCAGCTCACTAGATTGAAGGATTCAGGATCCCAACAGGAGATCCTTCCTTTGCATTAGCCCATAACACAAGGTCTACACCGCACTGGCAACCTCTCAGGCCACCACAGACACTTTCCTGCAAAGGTAAAGGCACATGAGCAAACACAGAAAGTCACCGTTTCTGTGGTAGGGTGGTGGGCCTGGTACACATGTGGTGGAAAAAACAACGTGTTATTGAAAAAATAATTATTAAAAATAATCTAAACTCAGCCATGCACTTGACCCAAAATTTAATCTGAATGGAATGCTCAGCCTAACCTGGCATTACAAGAGCAGCTTGGGGAACAGCTACTGCATTGCACTATTTCAGCAGAGCCTCAAAGGAAAGGGCTCTGCATAGCACTTTAACCAAGCTCTGCTATAAAATGCTGGATGGAGGGCACCCTGCACGGGTGTCTGTGCCCAGAGGACCAGCGATGCAGGTGCCACTGTCCTCCAGAGACACAAAGAAAGGACCTCCAGCTGGGGCATCTGGCGTTTTCTCTCTCTCCTCCTGGTCCGTGTGTCACTTGTTAGCAAGGGAAGCATGTTTTGGTTAAAGGAGAGCTAGGTGAGCAGATCTGCACACCGCGGGAACACACACAGCTCATGCCACCCATCACAGCAACCCTTCCGAGACGCCGGCTGCTGCAGGGGACCCCACGGTACCTACAGCTGCTTCCCACCACCCCTCCCAGCATGGCACAGCAAAATACCGCATAAACTCCATGTCCCTCATCCAAAGGGAAGGCAAATTTGCTATTCCTGGTAGCACAGATGATGTTCAAGCATTCGGGAACGATAGGGATATCATGCCTCCAGCCAGGACATCACCAAAAACCCACGACACAAGGAGGGCAGCAGCACACAACAGTGGGTGGAAGCACACACAGAAACGCGCACACGCCGCGACACGCACGCACACAAAGATGATGACGATTCTTTTGAACAGCCCCAGTAGGAACAATTGGGAAGATGGTGACAAGGAGATGGATGCTGGAAAGGGATGGGGACTTAAATGACTCTCCATGCTGTGTTGGAGTTCCTCCAAGGAGCCAATTATTACCCTAACCATGACTTTATGTCTCCAGCCTAAGCTATTTTTCATAGCTGAGAAAATTTATGAAACTTGTAAAATATTTTATTATAAGAAATGGGATGGAAGGGACACATTCTTATTTCACGCCCAGCAGTAGAAAAACATCTGACTCTCACAACAGGCTGTTGTTCAGGACAACAGGAAAATACATGCATAATATTTTACTTGAAATTCATTGATGCAATTTGCTGTAAATTAACCATACAAAGTGGTAAGTGCGATTTACAAGGCTGTAAAATTTGCATCTGTGAAAAGTGGAACCAGGCTTGGAAATTGGGCACTAAATCACATCAGCTCCAGTGGCACTAATGCATCTAGTGAGGATTTAAACTGCTCTAAGAACAGAGCTTGGCCCGCAGTCTTCAAATGCAAGCCATTTATTTCCCATCTTAAAATATTGACTTGACTGCACCTTCAGATACCCACCTCATATAAAATATGCCTCTGATTTGAAAATCTACTCTTTTCTACAGAACCCGAGATAATATTATTTGTAACAAATCTTACCCAGCCACATACAGGTCTCTTTGTTTGGATTCATCCCAAAAGGCTAAACCCCAGACTGAAGAACTGGGACTAATAACTGCTTGGCTTTAGGGTCAGTCTTGGAAGAAAAAACTGAAATGGAAAAGTCCTGCTGAGGTGGGACATCCCATTCCCAAAAAATCAGACTGGATTACTAGGGGATACATCTTGGCATTCCACAGCCACTACTGATATTTTATTCTGTGCTACCACTGACGCGTCCCACGGTGCCACCACCCCAGCAAATTCAGCAAACCTAGCGTTACCTGGCGGGCCCAGCTCCTCCAGCATGAACTGAGATTAATGACATGGCGAAGGATGGGAGAAGGGAGCTGGAGAAAGGGAAAGAAGCAGGAGGGAAGGCAGAGGTGAAATGGAAGTATGACCAGGGAAGTTTTCTTGTGAAGCATTGTATGGATTGGAGGAGGTTGGTAAGACCATCAAGAAATCGACCCTAAAAAAACAAGCTTATCGAGCGCTCTCCCGTTCTCCTTCTTTAAATCGTCATTTGGGCAGACAGTTTCCCAACGCTTGCGTGTACCAATAGCTAAAATGTACGTGGAGGTGCACAGAGTGAGTCTGCAGGCAGCAGGGTGGGGAGTCTGCTCTGGGCTTTCACTCATTCCTTTGAAAAAACTGATCTTCAGAGGTTTCTTTTTTTTTTTCTTTTTTTTTTTTTTTTTTTTTTTTTTTTAATTACAGGCTTTGCATGTTACAGTCCCAAACGAAGAACAAGGGGTGACATGACACACAGTTTCAGAGTCACATGCACTTCATACCTGGAGGCACCGTACGTTTGCGTTTGCGTGCTTTTCAAGTGTTTTCACCAAAGAAAACCAAAGGGATAAGAGAAAGAAAAACAGGGGGGAAAGGTGGGGTGGAGGAAAGGGGAAAAGAAACAAAATAAAGAAAATTAGCAAATGAAAGAAGTGTATCCCCGGGAGCAGATGCGCTGTGACCAGTGAGCATGGGAGCGTGGGCCGAGCTCGCTACCGCTCCGGCCGGCTCCGGAATCGG